GTGCAAAATTTATTTCAATACAGCAAGGCAGGTGTGTTTCCAGTTTCTTGGTTAATGGATTTCTCTTAACGATATTTTGAATTCCTAGAAACGTTTTCATGTTACCACAACATATTGATTATGCTCAATCAATCTGAAACACTGCTCTTAAGTATACTGCCAAACATAAGCACATGAAAAGTGAATTATTCAATATTTCTAAAATATAGGCATTGACTTGGAAATTGAAGAGGTAAAAATACATAATCAACATGATGTAGAAAAGCTTCCAGGATGTGTACATCATGAGACCTGGCTACTTGAAGTGTTTCCTAAAGACTTTATTATAATTTATTAAAAAGAAAGGTATATGAGTAAGTGCTTTTCATTTCTTACTTTACCCTAATTTTATATCACTAATCAATGTTCAAGAAAGCACTAAAGATAGTGTTATTACTTCCAACCTACATAAAAGTCTAAAAAACAATGCAACAATGACATCCTTTTATTTGACATTATAAACAAGTATAGTACAGCAATTTACCACTTTATGCTTCAATTTTGTTATAACAAATTTCCATTAACTTTCCCAAAGTTTTAATTACAGGACAAACTAATGAATATTTTAACTTACAATTCACACACTTCTATACTGATTCACTAATGAAATTAGACTTGCTTCTTGCTCTGCACCTTACATCCACCATCTTTAATCACATCAATAAATTCCTCAAATTGCCAAATTTGACAAAATGGGGTATGTGATGAACAAGACTCATGTTTATGGTGGCAAAAATTGTAAAATAAAACTACAACAAAAAAAAAACATGAAACAGTAGAACACGACTTTCTGCAGCATTAATTTACAGTCACATACTGTATTATTTTCTCCTTACCTTTGTTCTGCATTTTACCGCTTTCATAACATTTAACAAATTAACAGTTTTATAACAATACTTTATGAACTCCAGTGCAATATTCCCATATTGATTATATAATACATACAGTTCACAAAGATGCAGAAACTTGTTATAATCTTATTATTTGGTTGTTATTAAAACCACAGCTTCAAAATATTGTGGTATCAACTCCACCTTCATACACAGTATTTGTCAGAAAGTAATTGGTTATCACATCTTCCCATAACCAAATCAAGTATAAAGTTGGACATAACGTTTAAGAAAAAAAGACAATGGGACTGTTGAACAATCAAGGACATCCCATCCACTTCCAAAAAAACAAAAAACATATCTAGCCCTAATCATTTAATGACAACACATTAAGACCTTTGTCCTAAATTTACTTCATTCGTTAAATCTCAAGGCAACCACCCTGTTAGAAAAATAGAACTGTGAGTTGAATATGCCTCCTACCCTGCCAAGTTTTAAATTCCCCCCCTTCTTCTACAATTCTCACCATTAAATAAGAAAAAAGGATGACAAAACAACACAAACAATTCCCTTAATAATATAGAAAATACCTCAATCACATCCTCCAACTCTTGTTTCTCAAGAGAAAATTATTTCAGAGATTTTAGCCTATCCTCATATGATGCCCTTTTCATACCAGATATCATCCTAGTAATCCTTTTCTGTACCCTTTCATACAACTCGCATCTTTAACGTAAAGATCTCCCGATGTTTATGTGACTTCACTTCACCAACCAGACAGTATCAGAAACTTCACCATAAGCATTTTTAATTTGTTGACATTTTTAAGGACTAGAGAAAAGTAAGAAAAGGCTAACTGGGCAGAATTTATAACAGAGTAAGAAAGGAATAAAACTGAATATACACAGCAGTAGCTTAATGATTCTAGTCATCCAAAACACCAGTTGAAGCACCATGATATAGTGTGAAAGATCAGACGATTACTACACGTTAAAAGTTCATGTGCTGAACTTGAACGAGCACATGAATAAAAATAACTTGTAAATATACACAGAAATGAGGAGTAAAGTTATAAAAAGTGTTAATAATGCACCTCCAATTTTAACTCCAGTTGCACCACTTGTACACTTGTCAATGTGCTTTAGTGTAATGAATCATATATTATAGATTCATTGCAAGTAAGTAAACCAAAAGCATAGAATATGATACTGTTTCTGTAAAGGCAAATCCTGCATAAATCCAAGTATTGTAAAATTTTATGCTGTTAGTAGTTGTTTTAACATTTTTTGTTTCTATGATCATGACATCATGGAAAAACTTCATGGAGCATAATATGATGTATATACTTATTTAAATATCACAGAAGTGGTAACTTCATTGATTGAATATAGTTTCAAACATCATAATACACAAGAAACTACTTTTTGGAATTATTTATGAAAATAAGCACACAACCATGAAATAAGATAAAGTACAAAACGAAAATTGTATGCTTCATTATAGCTTTTATGAAGTACACATAATTTAAACATCATTTACAGAAATATATGCACAGCTATAAATACATAATTACATACACTCACACATCTGTAATACATTGCTCAACCAAATATACACAGCAGCTGAAAGGGTAAAAATACAGCCTATAATACTTTATTCTGATAAAAAATTTTAAACATTTAGATCATTGGTAGCCCAAAAGAAATATATTCATAACTCTGAAAAAAATTTTAAGCTTTTGAAGCTATCAGAAAAAAACAGATTTAAAAATGCTTTATTCTAAGTGTTATACAACTCTAGAACAGGTTTACAAAATTTCATTCACTAGCTTTGCCTACTTTTGATTCTAGAGCCAAGTGAAGTTTTTCAGAAACCCCAATCTTGTTCCAGAAATTTAAAGTTTGACTGTCTGAAACACACAACTGGCTTTAAAATGGCTTTCAAAATAACCTGCATTTTGCATTATTCACCCATAAGGAAAACCACTTCAAAAAGTATGCATGGCTAAGAAAAAGTGAACACTGGACTGAGGAACTGCAACTTGAGCACCTGTCAACCAAAGCAAGTCGATCGTTAGTTTATTTCTCAAAAATTTGAACCATACAACAATCTTAGCACTAGCAGCATCAAGTATTGAAGTCAGTCTGTGTCTACCTAGCTGAGGCAGCTACCTACCTCTTTTTATTTGGAAATAAATGTTTATTCTTGAAAGCATGCCACAGAAGAGGTGATAGAGAAAGAATGATGGTTAATAATAAAAAAATACCCTCTTCCCCTTCATCCTGTCATTCTTGTAACTGGTTCTCTTACACATTGTCATCTTTAAAGGTAACACACCTTCCAATCCCATGTAATATACTAGATAGTGTGTGTAAAATTAGCAATACCCTGATCTGCGTATTATTTCCTTGTACAAGTCGCTTCCCTTTAAAAAAGTCTATAAAACAATAATAATTACAATGTAAGTGTCTTGGATTGATTTAACACAAGTCGCTTCCCTTTAAAAAAGTCTATAAAACAATAATAATTACAATGTAAGTGTCTTGGATTGATTTAACACAAGTCACTTCCCTTTAAAAAAGTCTATAAAACAATAATAATTACAATGTAAGTGTCTTGGATTGATTTAACACAAGTCGCTTCCCTTTAAAAAACGTCTATAAAACAATAATAATTACAATGTAAGTGTCTTGAATTGATATAACACACAAAAGTATATGAAAACCAACTAAAAATTCTTGAGTGAAAAACAATATTCTGCTTTATCTCAAACAGTATAAGATATTTCAAAAAAAGTAAAATAAAATAACTTAACATTAATTATGTTTTATTCATGTGCAGTAAAGCTGAACTTATATTAAGCTCAGCTTCTAATTCACTACACTGCATTTTGTTTAGTCATGATGTTAAGAAAACACATAGATTAAAGAAAAACAATTAAGGACAAATAATACAAAACCCAAACATTTTCAAAAGGTGGACATTTCTTCATCAGGGAATGACTAAGGAAAGTGAAATGTAAAGTTATATTGCAGTAGATCATCATAACAACCCAGAAGATTTGCTTTTCGTGTCATATTACACAACAGAAATGAGTCACAACTAAAACAATCTTTCAAAAGTTAATGAAAACACTTTCATGTGTCATGGTAATCTACCATGTTATCACTCCACTTATCTTTAATCAATAATTCCCAGTTTGCCCCTGATGAAGTGCTGGAGGATCTTGTATTTTTGTCTCGCACTTTTTTCTACGTAACTCAGTGACAATTCTTAAGTGAATTAAAACCAAACTGAATGTAAGTTTAGTTTCACAGCACATACATACAATGATACAATGTGAGTAATGGCAAGTTGCTTTATTTTGCCATGTTTATGTGATATAACCTACTGTTCGAGTTCAAGTAGAATTGTGGCTTTTTTTAATTTTTCACTCAATCATTTTTGAATGCATATATATTATTTAACTTGAAACTACAATTTGGTTATGAAATATTAAAACTGCAATTAAACATGTGCTCTTCAAGCTTATGTACTAACTTGGAAAATCCAGATAAATGTATGAAGAGAAGAAGGTAAAGTACATATGTTACATTTATAAAAAGATATATGTAATAAGAGGTGATTTTTATTATAATTTACAAAGTACAAGGTTATCTAGAGGATTGATAGGCCTCAAATTTTTTGTGCCATATTCTGAAGATAAAATTGGGCAAGAAGACAAGCTTAATGTTTGAAAAAAGACAGGCTAGGCTCCAGTTAAGGCAGTATATTTCTTAACAAGGTGACTGTCTTAGGGAATGAGTTGCTGTAAGCAGTAGTGACAGTTAGAACTCTATAGTAGTTCAAGAGGTGAATCAAATAATTCCTGAAAAATAACGAGTAGGTATAAATTTGTACTTATCTCTAGCCTGAGTATTCAAGGACAGCCTTGAAGGACAAAATGATACCTTGCTGTCCATACTTTGTTATTTTCTATTATTCTGCTTCAATATTAGGGAGACTGTGTCCCAGAACCTTAAAACAATTAATTTTAATGTACAATTATGTGTACATATAGTGAAAATATATTATTAAATAATATAATTTCTTTTGTTTTATTTCATCTTAAAGCAACGCTTTCTTCATTTACTTACCTGCATCTGAAAATTATCCACACAACTATAACTCCAAGAACGACCAAAACTACAAATAAAATTCCAACCTAAACAAAAACATAAATTTTATTAAAATACAGTATTGAATTACATGTACATGTATGACAGTCATTGTTATTATTGCTGAAATAACTGAAAAGATATCAATATTGTGAATTATTGCCTCTGAATATTAAATGTGGTGAATTCCTTGGTAAAATTAAACAATGTTTAAGCAAATTACTGTTAAGTGGTTATATTATTAAGATAATAACTATTTGTTTCAAAGTCACGCGTACATTTTCAAAAATATTTAGAATTTTTTTAAGTATAGAAAAGTAAGCCATACTTACCCAGTAGTATTCTCTAAAGATTTCTCCAAAACTAGCCATTTGTACTCTTAGCTAATAGACTCTGAGGATGGAAATTAAAATATAATCTTTAGTTTAATTATGTCAACATCGGAAAAACAAACTTACTTTTCATTCATTATCTCAATATTTAATAAACTTAATTTCCATAATCACTAAACATTTGAATGAAAGATAATTGATCACAACTTTTATGTGGTTTTGTAACCTGACTGGGGCTCAAACTCAAGACTACCCACTTCCAGAGTATTCCATCCAACACCAACTCAATTATCATGGCTTAAGTTCCAAATACATAATTTACCATCCTAATCATTATACATTCTTCCCACAAACTTCAAGAGACAATGTTATCCCCACCACCTATAATATATGTTGATCAACTGACAAGTTTGACTTCACCACTATATAACTACAGTACAATCTTTGTTCTTTAAGTTCTCTCTTATTTCCAAGATCAACTTATTACTATATTCAGTTTAAATCTTTCAATTTTTTTGGTTTAATTAATGACTCACAGCACATTATGTGTGCTAAAAAAGGTATAATTAGGGGTCACCAGACCATACTGGCACTATAACCAATGGTCTTTCCAATTAAGCCATCAGTTCCAAAGTAACCAACTTCACCTTGACTAGAAATGTGCAAAATAAAAAAAGTTCATTCAGCAGTAAAAAAGAAGTTACTCTAAGTGTAACGTTAGAAATTTAATTATCGAAAACAATAAGGAAGAAATCACTGTAAGTGTAACGTTAGAAATTTAATTATCGAAAACAATAAGGAAAAAATCACTGTAAGTGTAACGTTAGAAATTTAATTATCGAAAACAATAAGGAAGAAATCACTGTAAGTGTAACGTTAGAAATTCAAACTATCGAAAACAATAAAGAAGAAATCACTGTAAGTGTAACGTTAGAAATTTAATTATCGAAAACAATAAGGAAAAAATTACTGTAAGTGTAACGTTAGAAATTCAAACTATCAAAAACAGTAATGAAGAAATTACTGTAAGTGTAACGTTAGAAATTCAAACTATCAAAAACAGTAATGAAGAAATTACTGTAAGTGTAACATTACAAATTCAAACTATCAAAAACAGTAATGAAGAAATTAAGTGTAACGTTAGAAATTCAAACTATTAAAAACAGTAATGAAGAAATTACTGTAAGTGTAACGTTAGAAATTCAAACTATTAAAAACAGTAATGAAGAAATTACTGTAAGTGTAGCATTAGAAATTCAAACTATCAAAAACAGTAATGAAGAAATTACTATAATGTTATAAATTTTCACTGTCCAAAAACTTACAATTTATAATGCAGTACATGTATATAATGATTAAATTAAAGACACACCAATATTTTGATGCCAGTAACCATTAAACAGAAGCATGTAGACATTTCTTTCAGCTGACTAACATAATAACAGCAATTCATCCTATACCTATAGCAAGCAACTTCTCTTCCAAAGATTCTGAGAGCCAAGTAATGGTTTGCTTGAAAGACAATGAACAATTTTTCCTTGATGTCACATATTAGATAACTAAATCACTGCTTGCTTTTAATATACATGGATGTATAAATCATCAGTCTTTCTGAACACACTTTCAGCCAGTTCTACACACACACAATATACTAACATTTATATCACTTCTTACTTTTAAGTATTAATTAGGTACAAAAGTAAAACTTACCATTCATCACATTTTGTGTATGGAACAACATTATTCTAATATTGTAGTAAATTCACAAACAATGATTTATAAGCATAATGAAGTGGTTTTATTTTGGGAAACATATTACATGTTTCGATAGAAACTGAAGAAGACATGCCAATTTTCTTGTGAAACATGTAGTATATTTCGCAAATAAAACCACTTCATGATGCTTATAAACTATTAATTGTCTGTTTGCTATTTATCATGTATATAGTTTCTTCTTATTGAATACTCAATACTTGAACACAAAAACAGTGCAAAATTGGTATGTAACAAAAAAGGACATTCAAAACTCAAAAACTGACCAAATTATTTTAACTAATATACATATATATCCTAAGTAAACCAATTGGCTGCATTCCTACAAATCAATCTAATCTGGAAGGAGTCAAAGAACAGTTGATACATTTATTTACAAATGGAAAATAAAGAACCAATAACGCACAAATAACATTTCATTTTAAATTTAAAAACAATAAAAATTATTCACTAAATATGGGATTTTTAATGTATCACTTTTACTAAAGTTTTAGTATTATACATCAAATTTGTTTACCATTTATACAAATTACAACTCAAATTTGAACTTCTCAACCTCATGCAAGCGCGGCGTACTGCTTATATTTATAATATAACGAAATTACAATCAACAAGCCTAAAACAATATCAATATCAATACGAGTTAAAATATTACATACATAAACAATCCTAATTCACAAAGTTCCAAACATCTGTAATCTATTTCGGGCCAGAAACTTATTTACAAATGAAACCCATTTGAAATTCAACATACATGCAAAATGTATAGTCACCTAACTTCTGGATTGAACCTGGTCTTCTCTACTCTCCAGGCGAAGAGGTCTAACCCAATAAATGACTAAATCCATAAAGTGTATTTAAATCCTCTCTTGTTATAAAATAACCATAAGAGCTCTACACCTAATCAATGAAGTTAGTTTCATAAATATTAGCTTGTTTAAATAAGAAAAGCGATAAACAAAACGAAACCGTTTGACGAATTTTTCAATTAAATTTAATGCATTGCAGAGAACGTTATAACTAAGACCTTCGCCTGAGGCAACATCAAAAATCACATGGTTAAATTCAATACCTTTGCAGAGATACGTGTAGAATGTCAAAGGATATTTTAACCACATGACAACATACGAAACTACGCCTTCCTCGTATGAGGGTTGTGAGTGAAAAGTAACACCTCTGCGTGGTAAAATAAAAAACAAAAAAGGTTTGAAATTTAACACATTATAACTTCTTTCCTTTATAATCATTTCTTTTTTTATACCAAAACGAAAAGCCGTAGAATTGTAATTGCTTTTGTTGTTAAAACGTATCTTCTTGCAAGTGGTGGGGGCTACCTCTTAGTAGAGCGCTCGTCAGGTGTGGGGGAGCTTTCAGCTTGGAATCCGAGACGAAGAAACACATATCGTAAAAATATAAATTACCATAGACTTTACATTTTATGAGAAGGAACCTACTTTTAGCCAATATAGTTTAGAGGTAATAAATTTTGAATATTTAATAAAAAAACTTTATTACAAGCAGGCCCGCCGACAGGAGGAGTGGCAAAGGCGACAACTGCCCAGGGGCCCGGGCGAATGATACCTGGTTATGCCGTAAAGCCTGTAAAGCAGTTTTTGGCTTTTCTTTGCGCATAGACGCTTGATACATTAAGAACGACTGAAATAATAATTTGAGTAATAATTAATATGTATTTGTTACTTTATAAATTTAATAGATATTTGTTGTTACTTCATTAACGTTTTTATGCTTATACTTTGAGGTAAAAACGGCTGCTGCTATGATTTTGTCTGGTTTATGAGCTCGTTGCTGTCCTAATTTACGATCTTCTTTTTAATACATTCTTTAAAATGTTAAAAAAGAGAGAGAGAAAGGGGCCCGGCGAGGATGTTTGCTCCGAGGCCCGTGCTGGCTCTCGACGTTCCTAATTACAAGTTTGACATAGTAACAAACCTACGACGGCTTGACAAGGTTTGGCATTATCTAGTATAAGTAATATAAATTCACACGCGAACTTATATACAGCATGAAACAATGGTGTCACACAACCGGAGACTGATTTTACCTGATGAAGTCAAAACTTTGTCGAAATGTTGTACGTTTGTTACTATGTTAAACTTCTAAGAAAGTTTTCAGCATTGCCCATTCAAACTGTCTCCAAACTTTATCACCACAGACTTTGCAATTATTAATTTAAATTGTGTTTTCTAATTTTCATTCCCCCAGTGGATCAGCAGTTAAGACTGTGGGTTTATAACCCTAAAAACTGGATTTCGATACCCGTGTTGAGCACAGCACAGATAGCCCATAATGTAGCTTTATGCTTAACAACAAACAAACAAACTCATCTTTTAAATTTTCATGTTACCTATTAACCTATTAATTCTTAGGAATTTGTATGCTCTGTTTTAGCTTGTAAATTAATTTCTTGCTAAATGTTATGGAACTTAATGTTTTGTATATAGTATATTCATATTTGTTCATTATTTTCTGTAATTATGAGTTATAACTGAGATCGATAAAAGTTCCTCTTGACTGAGCAAAATCAAGGTTTTAAAAACTCTAGTCCCAGGTATAACGAACTTTGTTCGTTGGCGGGTGCTTTTAAACTATCTGGTGAAAATAATTCAAAGTCCAGTCCACATATACCATAACAAGTGAATTTATTTATTTCTCAACATTTTTACAAACTGCGTTCACTGTACACATTTATAAGCCATGTTTACAAATGTTGCTAACTGAGTAATTCACTCTACGGGCAAGAAATTATACTCTGTTGTCTTGAAATAACTCTCTCTGGATGCTTTGCTAACCCCGTATTTTATAATCTACCTTCGAATGTACTAGAAACTTTGACGTCAAATCCCTAGAATTTTCTAACTGTTCTAGGCGTATCTAACCTAATGTTATCATTACGACCCGCAGTTCCCTCTAGATAACAAACAAATTACAGCATTAAAAAATATGGCTTATAACAATAGTGTTTGTGACTAAAATAATGATGAGTGACTGCTCAGATCTGCACACACTGACGGTTAAGTCTTAATAGCCTAATGTTTAATCAAGCAATATTGCTTATTCTTCCAGTTCAGGTCAAAATTTACACTTTAATAGATCATTAATTTCTCTATTAATCAAGTTAACTAACCGAGTTAAAATGGTTGTGATGCCAATTTTGATTATTTCGAGATAACCTGTTTTGATTTCAAGAATAAGAAACCTTCGGGAAATTTTTCTGTTAAACTGTCAAACTTCGAGTTGTTATACGTTAATTATTTGTTTAACTCCAAGACATTAGAAAGCCTTTGGAAATTTGAATTGCTTTAGTTCCTTGAAATGTGTAACATTTTGGGAATCAAGAAAATATGATATCTTCTTCATGCTTACTGTTGTAAGACATGTTTTTTAATCTTTTTATTTATTTTTTTATCTAGAGGAGGCATGAAACTGGTTTTAGAATACCTGGAATATTCTGGATGCCGTCACGAAAATCTAAAAAAAATATGAATATCTATAAGGGAAACCTTAATAATAAATATCAGTTAATAGGGTGAATGAGTAGCAAATATGAAAGTGAAGAATTCAGTCTGTGATTACCGAGTAATAATTGATAAAGTGTTAGGCAATCTTTAAAATATTTGGTTTCAGGAAATATTTCAATCAGTTTCAATTATCCCGAATACTCAGTTACTCAATCCGTGATCTTAGAAATGAGCTTACATGTATGTCAGCAGTAGTACCAATTAGCAAGGTATTTCCATTGGAATGTCATTTTAAAATTTGCAATTTAAATTAATTTTTTATTGTTATTTTAACTAAATTTATGTGATCTTTATATGGACAATTTTGAACATATTTCTCTTTATAATATAATTTTAAAACCTGATTGCTGTACTAGATTTTTTTTGATGACACCTTCTTGGTTTGGCGGCATGGAGATACCGAATTAAAAATACTTGCTGATTTCCTAAATAATATTGATCCCTCTAAAGCTATCAAATTTATATATTAAATTTAACAAGGTAATTGTTTACCTTTTTTAGACGTACTTGTAAAAGAAATAATAACGGACCCATATCTACAACTGTTTACCGAAAACCTTACACTGTTGCTATGCCGCCACATTAAACATCGTGTCACACATTTTCTCAAAAGTTAGTGGCTTTTAATACTTATATAAACAGAGCATTTCAAATTTGTTTCTATCCTAGTGATTTAAAAAATCAGTTAAATTATATAAAAGTCAGTGCTGATGATAGAGGTTATACTGATGATATAATTGAACGTTTAATACAAAAGAAAGATACAATTCAAATTTAATTAAGTAATGCACTAGATTAAACAGTGTTTATGATAAGAAAATAAATAGTATATTGATATTAACATATGTAAACGCTATAACTAGTCAAGTTGTCAACGTATTTAGAAAACATAATTTCCCCCAATTTTTAAGACATTTAATAAAATTAAAACAATACTTCCTAGTACCAAAAATGCCCCCCAGTGGCACAGCGGTATATCTGCGGATTTACAACGCTAGAAACCGG